TGGAGTGTGGCATCAGTCACGTGTTTCCTGAGAATGACCAGTATTCCATATTGGTGCTGCTTCTCCTTACAGAATAAAAATATTCGACCGCAAAAATGGTACACTTTTTATTGCCCCACTATTTTTCAGTGCCGGTAGTATTGGCTATTGAGTATACGCAGAACAACGAAATCTCAATTGAAAAGGCCGTCTATGACAGTCCACAAGTAGATGTGGTTGGTATCTCAAGAAGAAGCAATTTTTCACGGTATGCACAGCATAGAAATGAAAATCGCTTCCTAACATCTAGCAGCACTCAAATTCAATCTTATCACTATCACATCAGGCTATCATATCATAATAGACAGATTCCAGTGTACAAATTTATTTCCGGAAAATATCATTTTATCAAAACCAGCATAGAATCACATTCCATTATGATTATTGTACAGGAAATGTCAGCACAGCTTGTTAAACAATGTTTCTTGGCTAGCTTTTGATCAGGAAAATGCTAAATTGATGAATGCTACGTGAGAAATATGAGAATCGTGGTGTATATTTGTAAGTGTAGATAATCCATATGAGCTGTTCTGTTGTCTAGTGTTTCGGTTGGCATCTGTTTCTATATCATGCCAGACACCATGGTCACAAAATTTAGAGACGAACTCACACATCTAAACATGCGATAACTCACAACCATACAACAGAGTAGAAAAGGGGTACAGTCCTGAAGACTAATGCAGATAAGTGGAGGGAGAGACGTTGGTCACTGAATCCCTGATGTGTGCTACATCAAATAAACTAATCTAATACTGTCACCTGTGTACCAAAAAAAGAAATCTGAGTTTCATCGGAGTACATATCAGCCATTCTATTAGGAACAGCCAATCATTGATGAAGGTAAGAATTATTAAGGAATCAATGAATGCACAAGCTAGTTTTCAGTTTGATGTTGTAGAATTACTTCAGTTATTTCTTAAGCAAGTCATTTTAGCAGAGTACATTAGCGTCTCCATCCTCACCGAAAACATGATTGAACATCTGTTGGAAATTAAACATTATTATGCGTTATTTCTTGTACCAATACCACCCTGCATCCAAGAATTCCATTTTCAAAATGTAGAAACCTTGATGATAGAAAACAGCAAGAATACCAGGAAATCTCGATAAGTTTGACATTCAGCAATCAAGAACTGTGTAGATATAGACTTGATCGACAAACCACCAATCAGAAAAGCAGTGGACAACTACAACAGATCAGGCAGAGAATAGGTTAACAGAAGATTCTGTGCAATCGATGACATAACAATCAACAAAACAACAAATCACACGCCACACAATCAGAATGAGGTCGTTCTGACGATGACTATGTCTAAAAAGAGAGCGACAACCTCAAGACTGAACCATCCAGTTCAGAGGACGCAACAACACGATGAATGACTGTAGATATGATGATAACTCTATTTAACTGACGGAGGAAGTTAAAGCGATCAGACCTATTGAAAGTCACAAAAATAAGATTATGTTTTGGTGTAACATACTGAGAAACAGTGAACCGGAAAAAATTCTCGCCTTAGATTTCGTATGAGCACTTATTACCAAGCACAACTGCAAAAATGCGGTAACTGGCGTTCTCTCGGTGATTCCAACCCGTTACTTAGTGCGGAAGTCAGACAACTGTAACGGATAAACTGACAAAATCAACGTAGAAACTCGTGTACACGTAGATCAGCTCAAGATGCCACACTTCACAGTTCTACACAAAGAACGGTTGGATAAGAAAGGAGTGATATCAAAGAAGACAAAGTTGTGTGACAGAATAAACAGTCTGAAGATAATGGTTAGTGCGAATATCTAAGCTTTAGAAAATGCTAAGGAGTGAATAAATCTGCGACATTGTGACCGATTTTCAGCCAAGAGTCAGTACTCAATCACTGATTCCTATCGTCGCGATGACCCCAACTAGGCAGTCTATATCGCCCCACATGACCCAGACCAACATTGAGAGACTTCATCGACTAGTGCTACGTCTTCGTCTGGTCACCGTCTCCCAACCTAATCCAGCAGTCCCTAGCATGGCGCGACGAGACATGTGGTGACTTAGCATGTGCAACACATGTCCAAGCTACCTCAGTCCATGAAGATTAACAACCTCATCAATCGATTTGCATGTTTTGGCTACTATCCTTCGTCCCACCTAGACATTCCTCACACGGTAGTTCCGCTAAATGCGAACAATCCTACGAAGATATCTGTGATGAAGACGCTATAATCGCTTCATGTCTTCTACTTTAGTCTGCCATGTCCCACAGCCGTACAACAGGACGAACTGCAGAGCAGCACACTCATCCTTTGACAAATAGTCGGATATCTCACCGGCGCCACAGATGGCGCAAGTTGGCAAATGCCAGACGGGCCTTTTCTATCTGAGCTGAGATTTTGTCAGCAGTCAGTCCGTTCGGGTTGATGCAACTTCCCAAGTAAGTGAAGTGGTCGATATACTCCACCACTTCACTAGTCAGACACTTTACGAACAAGTTATTCAGGTTACGACTGACAACCTGTAGGACTGGAGCTAGCACGAACTCATTATCACTACATAAAAAAAGGTAGCTATCTAACATTTAATGCTCAGCAACTACCAAACTCTATCAATTAATTTTGTAATGTTTCTTGAATTGTCTTCTCATGCACATGCAGATTTACCTTCGCCAATGAAAAAACCCTTCTCGTCAAATAATATGAACAGCAAACGAACTTAAAAAGGCATCATCCTTTCCCTGTCACATAAAAACAAGCAATCCAGCTTCAACTATAACCATGTGTTACTGAATGCTGTGCAAACCGCGCTATTCAGGAAAATCAGCATTCAACAGAATTTAAAATGCTCTTCATATAAAATGGATAGATGACAGATTGGAATACCGCTCCTTTTGCATAATGAGGCAGTAACTTGCAGACAACAGATATTCTTCAGAGATAAGTAAACAAATATGTGGAGCTGGGAATCTATTGCTTGGTTACAAACCTCTGGTCACGCATATAAATACACTTCAATGCCAACTTTGGTCTGGACTATAGGGTTTGTATCGTAAACTCTCCAAACATTAGGTATGGCTAGTTTTCCAGCACAATTACATTTGTAAAATTCCTGCAGTCAATGTATTCTTCAATATAAAAGATAATAAGGTAACTTTTGATGGTCAACAAAAAACGGGTCCAGTTCGCAAACACTTGACTCTATCAATATTTAAAAGTATCTTCAAAAAACATTCTGTCGGTTATTATTAATAATCTTTAGTACACAGTGACGCTGACACATAAGGTAAGTGTAGATCAGTAGACGGTGATGCACGACGAAACTAACGGTAAAGTGCTATCCATCACTACCGCAGTAAAGATGTAGCTCATCGGTTCAAACACTCGACTTTCAACCAAAATGTCACTGACTTCAGCTACAGGTGTCTTGGGCGACCAGTTACTATCAGTTACTCAAAACATAATTATCAACGATTACCTGAGGCAATAAACGACATGTAGGTTAGGTTAATTTTCCCACTCCTCTACATACAATGATTTATCACCAAATGCATGAAGTGTCAGTGCAGTATGGGAGAAGATAAAACCGCAGTTTTTCCTCGCTCAGAAAACAGCAGCATGTTCATCCGATAAGCAATGAGTGACGCCTATGGTGTACAGACCAAAGATACTGCCTGACATCCTGAATTCCGGTAAATGGAGTAGAATCTGAACCCATGACCCAATGGTTAGAAGTCGAGTGTCTAGACCGATAAACCAAACCCCGCCTCCCCAAATTGACTATTATAAACAATCACTGGCGTAAACCAAGGCTGATATTGTCGGTTATCCCTCCGCTTCATCCAGCTCTTTCAACAGTCTTACTACAAAGACCAAAAAATTCACATTTTTCAAGCTGGTATTCATCGTGGACTGACCTCAGTTGGGGGAAAATTGGAAACCTGGGAGCACTGGACAGCTGTTTCGTCCTAGTATGCGACACCTCAGCAGTGTGCACCCACGACCCCGTAAGGGATGGAACCCGCTACCTTCAGGTTCCGTGGCCAGCACGTTATCATTAAGCCACTAGGTCAAAAGCCGATGGTCCATATTTCCTACTTCTGTCAGTTCACGAGATAGCCTGACCGCTACCCAACGTCATCGTTAAGTATTTTTCCTCACGGCCACTAGGTTTGCCCCACTGGTCACAACTTCTCACTGGAAGTTCAGAATCACCTCCCGAAGCTAGTCACCAATGAGCACCCAAATTCAATATTCACATTTGCCTTGCTCATAGAGTATACTGACTTGATTAACCAACCCTGTTGATTCCGGAGAATACAGTCCTGAGTCTTCGTCTAGCATTAATGACAAAAACCGAGATGTATTATGAACGCCTTGTATTCTTAACAGCAAACCAAGGTCAGGCATCATTTGATTACACCATGCATTTATCGGTCGCAGCCCGAATAGCTCAATGGTAACGTGTCTGTCTACAACAATGCGTGACGCTGGTTTGAATCTCTCACAATACATCAGTTCAGTCGAGGTTGCAGATATGCCTTGCTGATGAGTGCCAACAAGCATGAAACCTAGGCCCCCTGCTTCCTGCTGATTTTCTCCATTTAACTGATATTCATCTCAGTTCTCCACGATGCTGAGCCTACTAGCTCTGTGGCTGCATTGCAAATATGACCGACAGAATTCGATCAGCACCTAGGGACTAGGCAACATGAAATTGGCTGCACTCCCGTGACCAATTAATGTATACCATTCAGTCCTCTTAGAGGTCAGTCACGGCTTGAATAGCTCAGTGGTAACGTGTTTGACTGCAGCACAGGGTGACGTGGGTTCAAATCTCATAACGACTGTAAATTCTTCCATTCAACTCAAGTGTAGGTACACGAATTCTTAACAATTATGATAATTCGCCTTGACATCACAACCATCACTCAGTATGCGTAAAAGAAAGTTGTGCAAACCAACAGTATAACACAAAATTTGGATATGTACTTAACGCATCAATGTTAAACGAAATAATAAAAAAATCCTGTCAGCAACAACAAAAAACGTAACAATTTGCTCAATGATCAATGGTACATAAGTATTGAGAACACCGCCACAAAAACTTAAGATAAAAACTTTCAAATTAAGCCGTATAAGTTTTAGAAACAACAGTATACTGAGACTTTTGGAATGTCGATCTGAAGATAAAGGAAACAACATCATCAATAAGAGAATTAATTCAAATTTATATTCACAACACAACAAAAAAATACGCAAAACAAAAAAACAAAGCGAATTGAACATTGAATGTTTAAGTGATCAATAAGCAGACATTTTTTAACGGAAAAACACACTAACAAAAGCATAGAAAACCATTTATAGACAAAGTCATGATAGAATTTTCGAGCAGAAGACACAAGATAAAACAGTAAACATTTGTATGAATTACATGATTTCTGGATCTGGAGAACCAGCTCGTTTAGAAGCAGCATATTTCGCTAGAATATTAGTTGATTTACGTGAGTCGGCTATGAAAGACTCTTGCCTTAGTGTATTCAAATATTTCAGTAAAGTTGGCCATTGACTAGCTACATCACCCGATTCACTGAGCTTAAATTCATGCACTTTTTCTGGTTGTACACCATGAATAACACCTGAAATCACCTCTAAATGGTCAAGTAAAGGAAAGAGGATCAAGTCAGCTAAACTTAGCTGATCTCCTAAAAAAAATTGGAGAGGGAGAGAGAGAGGAAGAAAAGTGATTACAGTCATGAAACTGTTTATTGTATGCATAAATAAATCTCAGCTTCTAAAGTTGATATTAAAAGGAATCAAGTCAGTAAATACCATCGAAACCAACAACAATGTACACCTTACTTGGTACATAGGCACACACACATCTACTGTGTAAGAACTATGATACTAACTGTTGAAACATTAGCAGTAGATGGGATCAAGGTTGAGAAATACGACTCACTAATTGAAACGTGGGCTAGTCTAGACAAATGAGAATATGAATAACACAGTTCCTTCGTGGCAACTGAGATTAAATTGGTGAAATGTAAAAAAAATGTGATTGCTGCTTTGTTCATCCCCACATTATCTGTAGTATATTAGTAGCATAAAAGAATATATACGACAGAACTCACATAGCATAACTGTTAACAGGTAGAAAAACAAAAAGAAATATGGATGGCAATTGTTTGGTTATACTTTAGACAAAAGGATAAAACAGCTAGAAACAAATGAAAGTATTAGGAAAACATCAGTTCAAAAGTAACCAGTAGTCAAAATCAAGACAATATTCATCTCCCCCTTCAGTGGCTGTTAGTGTCTTCGAGACATACACAGTTGGTGAGGAACTAGAAAGCACTTAACTTCTCTCTAAGATATCCTGTTGGTGAGTTAAAGTGACAGTTTTGACATATTTTACAACATATAATATTACACTAGTTGCCACGCCGATTATTCTTTGCTAGTGCTGGGATTGGAGGAGAGATATGGAACTATGGGTTTAAGTAATTTAAGGTTTAACAGTGCATCATAACCCTAGTAGGTTCAAACATTCTCCTTTTATTTCTGATCAAATTTTAAACTCTTCATATTACTCTTCCTTAAATTCGTTTGAACTAATATTTGCAGTTCATGCATACTCCATCTTATGAATCAAACGTTTAGTGACAATGTTTGTGACTACAGTACTGTGTGGTTCATGTTCGAATCTTAAGGCGAGGGAGGGGAGGGTGGCATGAATTTCCCTAGGATTACAGATACGGTTTTCCAATGAAAGCCGACAACCACGAAACCTAGGTCTTCAGCATCTTGATGACTGAATCGTAAAATCTAACATATACATACAGACATCTATCAAGTGCACACAATTGATTCGATTACACGTAACTCATGTGAAGTAAAGACACTTAGAAGTTCCATTTTCTTGAACAAGTAAAAAATTAAGATCTAGTCAGCAAATCAGCCAGTAATTTATACGTCAATCAGTTCAAGTTTTGTTGTGTTCGGCTAATCGCTAACAAGTCAGATAATCTCATTCAATAAATAAGATATAGAAAGAGATTGGAACATGAAGAGACTTACCAGCAAAATATTTACCCTTGATTGAATTGTTCAATTCAAAGCATGCCTCATGAAATTTCACTACATCTAATTCGTTATAAGTTGTTTGAAACATTATTGAATAGCCAGGATTGAAAAACTAAACAATTATAGATAGAGGGAGAGAGAGAGAGAGAGAAAGAGAGGAAGCCATGCGATTACATATCCATTTATGAGTGATATGCAGAGTGACGTCAATTGGTGTTATAAATTAATGACATACTATTAGATAGCTTGTAGGAAATCATTTTATTCCACTGTGGTTCACATTATACACTTGAATCAAATATAGATCTACACAAAATCTATTCACTACAACATTTGACTTGTCCTCGAATCAATCGTGTATGTGGTTGCAAGGTATTGGCTCCTCAGGAGCCCCAAAGTAAGTTAATGCAACCGTTTAACGCATGTTTCAGCTTCATCCATTAATCCAAATCAACATAGGACCAGGCATTACTATGTAACGGTCCGACTTGCCCCATCTCATATCAATCAGTACATCAAGTAAAAAGGCAGTTAAGCGCAAGACGAAGATAGAAAATTCAGTCAAAAGAAATATAAAGTACGAGAAGAGATAAACGAAGAATGAGAAAATGGTGAGATTCGGTATAGCGTCTTTAAGATGACATCGGTTCTGAGCCATATCACCTAGAGTCTCCAACACTGATTCCTCTCGTCCCATGGACTCCAACCGGCTAGTCCGCATCGCCCCATAACGCTTAAACTAACAGTCAACGACTTCATACATTGATGCCATGTTTTAGTCTAGTCGCTACGGACCTTTTTCCAGCCCGAACCTAACTTCGACCAACATTGTATGAAGAGGCAGATGCAACTAGGCATACGCAACACATATCCCAACCATCTCAGTCGATTAATGATCACAGCTGTGTCAACTGATTTACCTCTTCTCCCTAAAACTCTACGCCTAACTTCTGCGGTACCAACGTGGTGACACCACGGAACACGTTGTTCAGCTAATGTTGATCGATGATGAAGACTGTTATATCGATCAGAAAATGGAAAACAAGAAACTCTGATAAGTATTACCGGTCGTATTATTTTAAAAGTTATTTATGACTTTATTGGTAATACTATTGTATACATCTCTCGGTTAAAGAGCTTTCGATCGACCCCTCCTTAATCCATTTAGGCATCCACTTATAGTTTGCAAATAATTGCATTTTGTGTAAAATCTATTATCTTGTACTATCTCATTCTCTATTCATGAAATTGATCGCTTCATTCAGAATAAATTATGGTGCGTTGTGGTCACGAAATTAAGTTGTATATATGTGGGGATGGATCAGACTGCCATAATATACGGACAGTGACCTCTAAACTTTGTGTCCTGTGTGGGTGTTTAGGAAATGGCTAATAATGTGACTCGATGCGTGAGTGAACTCAGCAAATGAGATTAATCATGTGAAAGGTCAGTCCGTTAACATCTAATCAGAAGAATCATGTCATCAGACAACTGTAACTAGGCTAAGTCATAAAAAAAGTACTTTGACAAGAAAAAGCAATACACAGTTTCATACATACGCAACTTCAACCTATGAATCAACGGGAGAAATTTGAATTTCATACAGAAATGCACAAACACCTCGATAACAAAAGCCACTGTGTTTCCTTACCTATACTTTTAGTAGTATGTATGTCGAAAGAACGGAGAGGGTCCTCTGAATATGTACCGAAAAACCTGTCATTGAGAGGCGGCAGCGCCATTGGTAAGTACATCCTCGATACAGATTATGCCGTCGACAAAACCATACCACTCAGGGTAATCTCAACAGACAAAGGAATAACACATTGCTACGTTATGCAGAAGCACAAACAGCAATCCATCGACTGAAACCAAACTTATGTGTACAAAAGGAGTTTGTGATTCACTCTGAATTCCCTCAGTGAGTTGTTCTTTTCTCATAGCTTTACTTACCATTTGATTCTTTCATCTTATTGCCTTACATATTATTCCCAAACGTTATTCATATCGTATTAATGGCAGATAGTGGATAGAAGTGGAATGCAGGAGATGCGTTTGCCATACTTCAAACTCGTCAACCGAATGTACCTGCATCCCAGTGAGCGATGTTTCTCCCACTAGGACTCGAACCCAGTACCAATGGCTTCAGTTATCACAGCGTTATCCACTAGAGCCATTGATTGACTTCTGGTAGGATGAGTGCAACTTCTAAGCTGTCACTTGTATTATCTCGTCGTTGATTTAATTGAATTAATCAGTCTCTATTGCGATATGGGCTTTCATAAGGACCTATCGGTATTTCCTGAATGTTAACTGTTATGGTTATTCATATTCCTATCGCTTTCGACTTACTTTACTTGATATCTTGATTACACTATTTAGTACACCCTTTTAAATCGGTTAATAATTATCACAGTTTGTATCTTCGTTGTTCGCTAACCTTATATCAAAATTTCTACCACACTGAGTTGTAATTATATCCCTGCACTACTATAATATCATACTGTTTCCTTTGTGTTTACTGATCGATTTTATAGTATCATGTGTTATGTTAATTATTCCCTGTAAGTGTACTGGTCGTATTTCGTGTATCAGGTGTAAATTTTACCATGAAATATATTGTGAACGACTTATACTAGACAGACACCTTGATACAGACTTTAGATATATTATGACAGCTGTTAGTTGGGTGGATTTTCCTGATTGTGGTCGAATTGACTCGACTGCATCATGCAACACACAATTGTGAGGGCGAGAAGATGGGCACACACTAGCTGGACCAATGAAAAGACCACACAAGAAGATCTCGATTTCGACGCCAATGATGATTTATGTCTAATATCTTGTCGCACAAACTCGAAGATCTACAGGCGAAAACTAACAAGTTGACAGGAGAGGCGAGACACTCAAGGAAGACGGCACTCCCTTCAGGTGAACGTGGAGAACACACAGGTGATCAAAATACACAACAACAAACCAATCACCACATCAATGAGAGAAATATAAAGGAAGTTGCCTCTTTCACTCACCCAACCAGACAGGTCAGCATCTACTCAACTACAGGCAGAGGCACAGGCACACATGAGGACATCAAAGTCACGATCGGAAACACAGCAACATAGGCATTCATCAGTCTGAAATTAATCAGTGTGGAGATCCACTACACTCCACTCCACTCCACCCTACTCAGCATAAAGCATGAACAACATCCAGATTTTTAACACCAATGTTAGTCAAGTCAATCAATCCCTCTATGTCATGCTTCAGAGACTTGACGCATTACGAAAAGCATCACCAACAAACTACAGACATACGTGATAAACAGCTGCCACCCACCCTCACTCGACACTGAAGATCAGATGGCCAGTATAATAAGAATAAGCAACAAGGAACCCACTATGACTGCCTGGCAACGAACTAACGAAGCAAGAACACATCGTCCAACAAATATGCAGAAGAAAGTGCAGATGCATTCGATTGGGCATACACTGAGAAGGAAGACGGTTTGGGGCCATCATGCACCAGGTCAGGCCATCGAGTGGAACCTGCATGAGAAACGCCGAGTTGGCCATTCGACGGTGATATGGAGGAGGTCGTGTGAGGAATAAATGAAAGTTTGTGGGCAGTCGATGAGCCAGGTTAAGAAGGATGCAGACAACAGAGTGAAATGGAGATGTGCTACTGAAGCTCTATGTTCTATTAGGAACCCAAGGACAAATAATAATAACAATAATAGAAGTCGGATGGAGACAATCAGCAAGAAGCCCAGGATCTAGGTTTCGTGCTTCCTGGCACTCATGAGCAAGGCATATCTGCAACCTCAACGGAACTGATGTCTCGCCTGAGATTCGAACTCACGTCACTGACTGTTGCAGTCAGAGACGTTACTCCTGAGCTATCGGGGTCGCGATCGGCCTACTGTAGAACTGAACCAGGTACGTCGATTGACTACTGACGAGTGTCTCCATCCAACTAACATCTAACTCATTGCATCACGATGGTGAACCTCCTAGTCTGGTGGTCACATTGCTAGATAATCGACAGGATTCAATCAGCGCATAGGACTAGACTAGAAGTAGGTTTATCTCCAGAAACCAATAAATATACTTTGATAGCAGAAGTGAAATCCCGAAGGCAAAGTCAGTTCTGTTCAGAGACCGTCAGTTGGATGTGCTTGCATCGCGGGGTACTAGCGTTTCAACAGAACTTCAAACCTAACACTCACTATTTTGGACGCGAAAACGTCACCGGATTACTTAGTTGAGATAATCATACTAATCAAAGCGATACTAGCTTGTTCTAAACCCTAGTTGGAGTACCAGCAAGCTAGAAAGCAGGTAGTCAGCTGATGAATGTTAAGTAGTACGAAACACAACTAGAAATTGAAATGTTGCTTAAGCGACATGAAATTTGATAATATAGAACATGAATTACAGCAAACCTTTTGCGCTAAATCAGCCGCCTGTTGAAAGGCTTCTGGACCACATACTGACATTAATGAAGATTTCTCTCCACGTAATTCATCCACAAATCGCATAATTAAATCAGATTCAAGCAGTTTATCGCCTTGGTTAAGCAACATAGGGACTTTACCCAATGGTGAATACTTTAAAAGCCAATCTGGTTTATCATTTAATGATACCAAAATTAAATCATAACTGAAAGAGAAAGTGGATGGTGTAGAGAGAAACGGTTAGGCTGTGGTTGAATATTGAACGAAGAGAAATCAAACAAATTCCCTATAAACCTCCAAACTAAATTACTATCTACTGCTCATAAGTGACTTGATTCGACATAAGATTCCCAAAGTTCTAATGAGAGGTAGTGAGGCTAACCAAGTCGAATATGGGGACAGTTACTCAACGACAGCATTGGATAGAGGTCACGCTATATCGTGAACTGGCAGAATTAGTTAATATGGACCATTCAATTCCGATCCAGTGGCTCGATGGTAACTCATTGGCCATGAAGTTCCTCAGTTAGACCTCTGGCCGGGTCCTAGGTGAGTACTGCTGAGGAGTCCTATACTAGGAAGAAACAGCTGTCCAACGATTCTCCAACCGATGTCATTCTATGCTAAATATCAACCTGAAATCAATAAACAAATTTCCACAAACCTCTATATTGAAATTGAATGCAGTGTATCAATATAGAAGTTGGTATATTACGTAATGTGTCACACCAACTAGATGATGGTGATTACATCTAGGTTTGAGCTTGTCAATGATAGGTTCAAAATTAGGAACTATAGAAGTCATGGTGTGTGTGTGTGTGTGTATGTCTTAATATGTTCTGCTGACGGCTTTTAAACGGTTGAACTGCAGCCAAGATAGGGAATGCACGCACTGCCATAAAAAAAATACAAGGTTGGTCTACCACATAGAAACCCAAGTCTCATAACGATAGGCTATACTTATTATATCAGGGTCAGTGTGTGTAATAACATTCAGAAATGCGATCCATCGGCTACAAGTTCAGTGAATAAAACAATCAAACAGACAAATTAGCGTAGAATCTGGCACAGAAATGCTTCAGACCAAGTAGTTGCCTAATTTCACAACAGCATGCAAAAATGAAGTGGATGGTAAGAGAGTGATATTGTAATGAGTAAATGTGTATGAGAGGTGAGAAAATAAATGAATGAATGTTAACACGGTGTTCAGGAATTTGAAGATGATAAAGAGTGTATACATATGCATTTTTGTGATCAACTTCAAGATAATACCACCAAAAGCCTGTAAACATTGATTCCTATGGTCTCGGGGACCGCAGATCACCTCCCTACATAGCTCAGACCGACAGTCAACTACTTCATGGGCTGATTGCACCTATTGGTCTGGACACCCTTAGCTTTCTTCCAATCCCATCATATTTCGGTTAACACCGCAAGTTCAAGTAGGCTATGGTTAAGCATGCACAACAGATATATGAGTCACCTTAAAATGTGTATGTAGTTCATAATCACATAGATAAGATTCCCTTCCTTGAATACTTACTGCCCTGAGACGAAGACAGACTGACTGACAAAATCAAGGTAGAACCCCCTACACAAGTGTATCTCTGCAAGCTACCACACTATAAAGTGGTATACAAACAACAGGTAGATAGAAAAAGAATGATATCAAGGAAGATATAGTTGTATGAGACAACAAGCAGTCTGAAGATAACGATTAGTGCAAATATTCAAGCTACAAAAAACGTTAAGGAGTGAATACATCCGAGCCATTATGCCAGCTTTTAAAACCATATCATCAACAGTTCTCAACCACCGATTTCTATCGTCACAAGAATTCTAATCAGGCAGTCTACATCTCCCCACACGGCTCAAACCAGCAGTAAGAGATTTCATCGACTAGAACTACGTCTTCGTCTGGCCTCGCTCAACCCTCTTCATACCCAATCTAACTTCCTCTAGAATGCCGCGTCAAAGTAGGCGATGACTCAGCACGCGTAACACATGTTCAGACCATCTCGGATGATGAAGGTTTACAACTTCATCAATAGACTTATTGCATTGCCTAGTACACTTCCTCTGAAATCAACATTGCTCACACGTTGATCCCATCAAAAGCACACAATGACACAAAGACATCAGTGATCATAAACTTGTAACCGCTTCATATTTACTTCTTTTAATAGCCATGTCCTCACCAATGCGTACCCACGATTTCACCAGAGATAAGATTGTTAGGTCTGAATGTGATGAGTAGGTTACCATTGAGCTACTGCATCGGATCCAAGTGGTTCACATTTCACTAGCCCCATCAATTCGTGATACAGAGCTATCACCTAGTGTCGCTGGCGAGCAACTGTCTCAACACCCGACTTGGTCGACCCCATAGGTGACACAGTTCCATCAGAACTTCGGGAAATACATATCGAACCACGATATTAACAAGAACATATGAAATATTCCAAAAACGGTGTTGCTCCTTAACTAGAAATTAAACTGGAGTGCACTTAAAAACCGTTTGCACATCCACGCATTAGACAATCAATTAAACCTACTGTTTGACGTACCCACTTGACAGCAAAATACAGTGTGACGTCCTTGAGAAGTCAGAACAGCAGACGATTCACCACAAAAAGATTCCAGTATGACATTGCTCCCTTACTCAAAATGCTTCTGTTCAAAACGAGCTCGAAGCACTTGCCAAAAATTTTTAATCACCAACTTCAGACGACATGCAGAGTTTTCCCAAAACTAACACAGCGAAAGTGAAAGTATAGCGCAGCGAAAGGATTCGTCCACAAAGCTGTAGATTAGGGTATTTTATTACGTGCTTTCTTAGATATCTTTCGGTAATTTACTGAATTATGAGGAAAGGAGTAAACAGGCTTTGTCCCTCACCCTGAGTCACCGTTCACACAATGCACAATTTTACATGCAGTTCATCACCATAGGAAAGTGTCCTCTCGACTCCTGGGAAAATACCCAGTTGAATACTTACCAACTCACTAATTGTAAACAGACTGTAGAATTCCCATCTCCTCCTCCATTTAGGACACTACACGTCGTTGATTAGAAACATTATTGTTCAGTTCAAAAGTAGTTCATCTCGAGGTATATGTGTCACCTTAACTCATTCGAAACTTCTAACATCTTATTGATTGATCACTGTGTACTATGAGTTGCTTATATTCCCCACAAAACCTATGCCTCTACCCATGAGTGTTATTCTCATTGCTGAAACATTGTCTAATCTCTAATCTCATTATTAAAGCATCATTATCAGCACGATAAACTCACTTACTAATAATCAGATTATTTAAAGTCACCTCTAAGAGTATCAGGATTAATACTACATTGAATTCTGTAAATAAGATTTATCAGTATCCTACGGTTGCTCATTGATTCGGTGATCAATGAATTCTAGTCACCGACTGCATAAGGTTTAGGGTCAGTAAAACGATCAGCGAATTAGATTGTAGACTGACTACTAACTTCAGTAAATGTGTGGAACACTGTAGCGCTTCGAAATGCAACTCAACTGGCCTCTAACATCAACCTTCATTGTCTAGTGCTCCATGGTTAGTCAACACACCCACTATCACACCTAAAAAAGTGAAATTCCATAAGAAACTTCAAATACTGAAGCACTGCACTTTGAGTTGGCTAGTCTAGACAACCAACCACTTATCGATGGATGGAGTTATGGATGCATTCATGAAACCGAATATATTGCTTACGACTGAATATGGGAGAACGGGTACTCCATCTCTAGAATCCTACAGGACACAAGATCAGATCAAGAAAGGGAGAAGATGTAGGTTCATACCACTCACCACCTAGTGCAAGGAACCCACCTTCAAAATCAAGTTGAAAGCCTCCAAAGAAGTTGGTGATAGATCACACACAGTTCAACACCCAGAACTGAAACTGAAGGATGCAACTGCAAAAGACATCTTCACATCAGTCATCAGGACAAAATGGCAGATTTTGAGCAACATCCCTGAAGAAATCTGTGTGCATGAACACTGGAACTCTTTGAAAGAGATGTGGAAACAAACCTACATAACCGTATTAGGAAGGGAGAAAAAACAGGACAAGGAATGGAACTCGATGGATACATGGAAGCTGACAGAGGAGGGGGAGGAAGATAGTGAAGCAGAAGATGAACCAGTCCACTACAGTGCAGTACAGGGATGAACAACTAAAAGAGGAACTGAACACAGTCTATAAAACACAGCACTGGACAAAGAAGTGAAGAAGAGTGCCCACAAAGACAAAAGACACTTCTACAACACACTGACAAGTGAAGCAGAAAAGGCTGCAAGTAGAAGAAACCTGACAACACTATATCAAATAACCAAAATGCCATCTGTGAAGAGACCAACACAGCACAGATGAAACCAATGAAAGATAGTGAAGGGAATCTAGTTAGCGAAGAGGAGAAACAAAGGAAACAGTGGGGTGACCACTTCAAAAGACTCTTAAATCGACCACCACCACCACCACCACCATCACTTGAAACTCGTCCAGAAATACCACAAGAAGCCCAGCCACGGAACTACCAGTCAACACAAACCTTCCGACAAAAGCACGAGTGAACCCCTGAACACCATTAACCTGCTGAAATCTGGTAAAGCAGCAGGACCAGATGGAATCCCGCCAGAGACAACAGCGGACACCCTCACACCACTATTGCACAAGGTTTGCAAGGAAGGAAGGAAGGAAGGAAAGGTACCTACCGATTGAATGGAAGAAGGGCCGCCTTGTCAAACTTCCAAAGCAGGGAGACCTAAGTGATTGCAAGAACTGGCGCGGAATCATACTCCTGTCCACAACAACAAAATATTAAACCACATAATCCTGGAGAGACTGAAAAATGCTCGGCATTCAAAACTACGATCGGAACAGGCTGGATTCAGGAAGTACAAATCATGTGTAACGCAACGCCACTCATCATCATGGAACAGAGGAGGAATGGCAGTCAACTCTCCAACTCAACGCCATCGATTTTGAAGAGGCCCTCGACAGCGTCGACCAGGAAGTAATTCGGCAGGCCGCTACTACTACACTACGGTTTTAGTGCCATAAACAGCGATCAACCTCATCTGGCAGCAGTAGACGCCACATAGGGAGTATTCCACAGTGGAAAGCTCAGCGATGCCTCTGAAGTGAAGACAGGGTAAAACAAGGCTGCCTTCTATCAACACCGATGATCTTTCTGATTGTGGTCGAATTGACTCGACTGCATCATGCAACACACAATTGTGAGGAGCGAGAAGATGGGCACACACTAGCTGGACCAATGAAAAGACCACAGAAGAAGATCTCGATTTCGACGCAAATAATGATTTATGTCTAATATCTTGTCGCACAAACTCGAAGATCTACAGGCGAAAACTAACAGGTTGACAGGAGAGGCAAGACACTCAAGGAAGACGGCACTCCCTTCAGGTGAACGTGGAGAACACACAGGTGATCAAAATACACAACAACAACACAATCACCATATCAATGGGAGAAATATAAAGGAAGTTGCCTCTTCCACTCACCCAACCAGACAGGTCAGCATCTACTCAACTACAGGCAGAGGCACAGGCACACATGAGGACATCAAAGTCACGATCGGAAACACAGCAACATAGGCATTCATCAGTCTGAAATTAATCAGTGTGGAGATCTCACTCCACTCCACTACACTCTACTCAGCATAAAGCATGAACAACATCCAGATTTTTAACACCAATGTTAGTCAAGTCAATCAATCCTTCCATGTCATGCTTCAGAGACTTGACGCATTACGAAAAGCATCACCAACAAACTACAGACATACGTGATAAACAGCTGCCACCCACCCTCACTCGACACTGAAGATCAGATGGCCAGTATAATAAGAATAAGCAACAAGGAACCCACTATGACTGCCTGGCAACGAACTAACGAAGCAAGAACACATCGTCCAACAAATATGCAGAAGAAAGTGCAGATGCATTCGATTGGGCATACACTGAGAAGGAAGACGGTTTGGGGGCATCATGCACCAGGTCAGGCTGTCGAGTGGAACCTGCATGAGAAACGCCGAGTTGGCCATTCGACGGTGATATGGAGGAGGTCGTGTGAGGAATAAATGAAAGTTTGTGGGCAGTCGATGAGCCAGGTTAAGAAGGATACAGACAACAGAGTGAAATGGAGACGTGCTACTGAGGCTCTATGTCCTACTAGGAACCCAAGGGGCAAATAATAATAATCACTGTGTAATGTAAGCATTGTACCTATGTTTGAATAGGGTCTGCTTCATGTGTGATAATTACTCGACCACCAGCATGTAAGCAGTAGGGTTTAATGTATTGATATCTACCATACTTCGAAGGCTGTGGAAACACGTGCGAAATTGGTCGACGAAGAGTAGGTGGGGTTCCGTTCAGGTTGTCAACGAACTCATACGTTATATGCTTGAACACCGTCACAGACTGTCATCTCACAATCGCTGTATTTCTTGATATTAGAGCTGCTTTCAATTTGTCAGGTGGTGTTACATTCAACAATCGCATGTTACAAAAGAGGTGTCCTCGAGAAATCTGTTACTATGCACAAAGATCTATAGAAAAACGCATCGGACAGAGTAGAAGCTTACCGCCACATGTCTTCGTGGTTTTATACCAATTCATAGTGCTAGCCAGCTTTTAGTCAGTGAAATTTTCGACTGTTCAGAAGGAAGTGTGCAGTGGTGCAGACCTGTAACCACATACAAGACTTTTTGAACTCGAGTTGGCGGATGATATCGTTTTACTGTTCAGTAACATACAGGCTACTTAAAACACATTCCATAAGTTGTTGTCCGCAAGTATAGCACTCTTTCCGCAAAAAGAATTTCAAAGTCTTTTTACTGCATTAGCAGCAACCAGCGCCTGCACCCACGTTTGGCTATGAATCGTTGGAAGTAGCCACAAAGTTAATGTATCTGGGTGGTTGTGTGAATCTCATATCGAAAGCTATATCGGTATATACCAACCTATATCACGTTTGGCGTCGTTTCAAATATTAGCCTTAACGTAAAAGGTCGGACTAATGTGGGCAGTTCTGCCCTACATCTGAGAAACCTGGTCTCGTAAAGTTGAAGATGTCTGATAACTCTGCGTATTCAACCACCGTTGTCGATGCAGTTCTCTCATTCTGCAGTAACGCCATGCAACTAGTTCAAAGATGAAACGGCGAGCGTTTGGTCATGATAGAGATATTCATTTATTAACCTGGCTACTAATCAGACGGTAGATGAAGTGGACTTTGAACTCGTGATCCAGTTTTCTCACTTTGTTCAGTTGTTCACTGGATACGAGACTTAAAAAGTAGTCTGTCCCGAACTACAATATCTATATACTGTAAATTTTTCTCGTTCTCCCAAACGATTCACGTTTTTATAGAATTCTATGAACAATAAGTTATCGATAGTTTTTTCCGTCTCTTTATACAATGTTGATGAAAGGAGAAGAAGAAGAGTTTACGAGACCTGGACATTGTTGGCCAAATTTTATATCTCTCTGCTTATCGATCGATACACATTCACAAAAACATTCAGGGGAAATTCACTTGTGATTCATTTCCAACACAGAAACTTAAGAGGGAAATGAGTTTTTAAAAAAATATGAAAAAGTAGTTTAAACTTACTCAATCTTATGAAAATTTAAAGTTAATCTGACACGTTCACAGAATGGGCAGAACCGATAGGCAAATAGTGTATACCTAGAAGGATCAATGGGGGGTTCCGAATCACCTAAAATTTCAACAAAACACTCTGTAAAAAAGAGGAAAGACTGTTTTCTTTCTCCTTTTTACACCTATCATTGATAATCTATCATATTTTAAAGGATTCTAATTACAATCCCCCAATGATATAGACACATCAAATATATTTAGATACCAACTTTTAACCGCTGGAAAAAGTTCGTTAAATAGTCGACTGCTTTTGTAGGAAACCAGTTAGATTTAGTCGCACTATTCTTACGAGAGGATACAATTTTATGCCTACAAGTGAACGTCACAATTTCTCAAATTTTAATATCAGACGACAGTCGTTAAGGAAAGTGAAATCATTTGAAATCTTTTGATTTCGTCTCTCTTATAATCGCCAACCAGGTCTACAATTCTTCATACGATTTAAATTAGTCTTTGGAGATCTCGAGGGTTACTGTATAATAATAATAACAATAATAATAATAATAATAATAATAATAATAATAATAATAATAATAATATATAGTGCATCTGATCCTATTACACATTTTGTGTACTCGACTGTGAGCTGCATCTTTTGTGAGGGCTTATGATACTACCCGGTAGCTCAGGCCAAAGTAAGTGGAATGGGGTGCGAACTAAAGATCCATTGTTTGAAAGTCGACTACTTAGACCCAAGAGCTATCATCGCACTGCCATACCTTGATGAAGTCGAACAAATTTACTCAGTAATTACATCATGGTTGATGAAACAGACTATGAATTATGTTTATTGCATAAGGACTAGTCAATTCCTGAGCAACAATAGATCAAGTGAAGTTTGAGCTAGTAAATAATAAGTCTAAAGATGCATAATTCACTATCTAATGCACAAGTATGTACTTAGTTGATGAGTTATAGACTCGAATTGTGCTTACGTGAGTGACCTACATTGAATCGAAAAATCTCTTAAAACTTGGGGAGCTTAACATGGTTTGGAAAACCCGCTGATAAAAACATATCATATAGTGAAAGTTCGCACTGAAGCCGAATGATTACAATAGACATGATGCTGGTTGAACAGCTCTGTGCAGCTTCAATCTACTCAAAACCCTATACGACCACTTTCCACTGTTCGATGGCTTTGTCTTCTCAGTGTGCATTATTAACGTATGTCAACTGGTTTTAACTATGAGACTTGAGTTTATTCTTTCTGCTTACTTATCAGCCGCGTCAAGTGTTTTCTCTTCTAAATTCTCGTACTGGTTAGGTGAACTGCTACCGCTAAACTTACATACACTACAGGTACGTAACTCGAAACCGAAATTCACTCGGCAACTTTTTGCACACTCCTACAGTGATAGGCAATAATAGGCTAATAATATTACCTGGTTGCCCAAACCTCGGTAGACGAAGCAGGGCTCAAAACTGCGACCCATTGGTTGAATATTATCTCCCTAAACCAATGAGCCACAACTCCATAGATACGTAACTTCAGGTTAAACGAAAATTTATCAACATCTGGTTGTTAATATTGTGAATACACCTTTACTATGTTCATACAGCTACTTATTCGTCTTGTTCTTACCATTACACACTACGCTTTTTCACAAGGTTGCTTTAAAATCGATTCTGTAACTGTTCCAAGTTACTTAAGTCAGTTGTAGAACCACTGAAAACCTGAAAACACCGGAAAGAAACTGTTTCATATTAGCATGAGACGTTCTGGCAGTGTGCACTCAAGACCCCATCAGAGATCAAACACACGGTCTTCGGATTTCGCACCGAGTAAGCTTCAATTGAGCAGTGATAAATACCAAATCGAAATCCATAAATCCTCCACAAACCTCCGAAATAGGATACAGAAATGCTGTTTACCAACGGATATTTCTAAAGAAGTTAGTGAATCGATAATAACATAACTGTTCAGATATTCTTCCCAGGGTTAACTGATTTCGAACACCTATGACTACCGTTCGGTCATAGCTGACGTCTTTTCAAACAAGCGACTGTTTTCTTCCCAATAATAGTTGAAGGCATTCATGAATAGTTATCCACGTATATAATACTGTTCCGCTAACTAGATGGCCACTTGCTCAGGTTACACAGCAATTGAGAAGAACAATTTAAGGCATACATTGTTTGAGCATTATGCGAAACCAAAAACAGTCTATCTTGAAAAATTTAACAAGTCATATAAAACTGGTCATGATTATAACATTGTAACTGAGGTAAAACAACTCACCATTTTTGAGATGTACCATGTTTGTATTCTACGGAAACTCTTTTTGAAGAATGATAATACAATGAAAGACTAAATATAGCAGTAATGAGTGAATGATTTGGTGTCTAGCAAGCTACGATTGTATAAAAATGGAGGCAATCCTAAAAAAAAAAGTACCAGATATGCAGATGAGAGGTATTCATAATCAAAGAAATCAAAAAGACTGAAGTCTCACTCTACTCAAATAAACATTTATGTGTAAATTTTATGATTGATTGTATACGGAAAATGATGACTGATGGATGGTTGATTGGTCCGCCGATAACGATACGGCGTGACGTTGTGTAGCTTGACCGAGTGATTAGCGTACACGTGAACAAAGTAATCAATCTATTGACTTCACGTGATCAAGAACTCGAGCAAATTAATTGTATCATATATTGCGTGGCCTATTATATGGTATTCTTGGACCAAATATAAAGTATTTCTCAAATACAATAGATGAAATCTAAAATAGCATAAATATAAGTCAGACAAGAAATGTACACCAGACAACCATTGACTTCTTACCAATTTATGTACAACTGCCTTTCCGACCGTCAATATCAGCGAATAAAATTAGACATGCATTTCTAACTCGTCAAGTTTCAATGATGCTTCAGGATTGGCTTACACCTACTTCTGGTTCAAGGATAGCGCAACAAATTAGGGAAGTCTTTGGATGACTACCCCTTATTGAGACATTGCATCAACCTTAATTAGCTGGTTGTTGACGAGATCTAATCTCGAATGCAAAAAGCTTGTGTTGCACGCTTGTATTTAAAACACAAACTTGGACCTACATGGGCACAACAGATACACCACATACAATAATGTAACACTTAGAAGACAAAAAAGTGATGTAGAGAATGAGAAGAACAGAGACAAGAAAACATAAATGGAATAAGCAGTTTTGAAGATACATTTAAAGAAATGTTCAGGACCGTCGTTTAACTTCACAGTATTAAGAGAAACAAGAAGGCAGTAGCGTGATCGCCATTGGTTCTCATTGCAAACCATGTCACTCCACTGTGAGTTCAAAAGCGAAGATAAATGGTTTTATGCCCTTTTCTATTTCGTGTTTTTTACAGCGCTTTAAAGATGACGAGTTTTTAAGCAACACCTGTATTCAACACACAGTTACACAACCTAACACAATCCGACAAACTGAAGGCATCCATAACAACAAACAAAACAATGGTTGGTCTACAATATATGACGGTATTCAAACACCTGACGAATAGACGAATGATGTATCAATGGCCTGAATAAAAACCAACCTGCTCTTCACGCGTTAGTTTAGCACGTGTTTTGTGCACCCTTCAAAGTATGATAGATGTCAATACATTAGAAGCTACTGTCAGCATGCTGGCGGCTGAATCATTATCGCACACAGAAAGTAGACCCCTTTCAAATATGGGTACAACAATGCTTCCATTTCAGAATGATGGAGTACCCGTTCTCCCATATTCAGTCGTAAGCAATATATTCGGTTTCAAGAATGCATCCATATCTCCATCCATCGATAAGTGGTTGGTTGTCTAGACTAGCCACTCAAAGTGCAGTGCTTCAGTATTTGAAGTTTCTTATGGAATTTCACTTTTTTAGGTGTGATAGTGGGTGTGTTGACTAACCATGGAGCACTAGACAATGAAGGTTGATGTTAGAGGCCAGTTGAGTTGCATTTCGAAGCGCTACAGTGTTCCACACATTTACTGAAGTTAGTAGTCAGTCTACAATTTAATTCGCTGATCGTTTTACTGACCGCTAAACCTTATGCAGTCGGTGACTAGAATTCATTGATCACCGATCAATGAGCAACCGTAGGATACTGATAAATCTTATTTACAGAATTCAATGTAGTATTAATCCTGATACTCTTAGAGGTGACTTTAAATAATCTGATTATTAGTAAGTGAGTTTATCGTGCTGATAATGATGCTTTAATAATGAGATTAGAGATTAGACAATGTTTCAGCAATGAGAATAACACTGATGGGTAGAGGCATAGGTTTTGTGGGGAATATAAGCAACTCATAGTACACAGTGATCAATCAATAAGATGTTAGAAGTTTCGAATGAGTTAAGGTGACACATATACCTCGAGATGAACTACTTTTGAACTGAACAATAATGTTTCTAATCAACGACGTGTAGTGTCCTAAATGGAGGAGGAGATGGGAATTCTACAGTCTGTTTACAATTAGTGAGTTGGTAAGTATTCAACTGGGTATTTTCCCAGGAGTCGAGAGGACACTTTCCTATGGTGATGAACTGCATGTAAAATTGTGCATTATGTGAACGGTGACTCAGGGTGAGGGACAAAGCCTGTTTACTCCTTTCCTCATAATTCAGTAAATTACTGAAAGATTCTGAAAAAATCATTCGATGAAATGAAGAATTAAAGTGTACTCAGCAGCCTTGTGCACATTCGTGCAGTAGGCAACGAGCCACACCTATTGTGCAAGGGCTAATGATACTGCCTAAACCTCAGTAGAATGAGCGGGGCTCGAACCCGTGAGTAATCAGTTAAAAGTAATGTCAACCAATATCTTCACAATGAATGGAACAGCTCTCCGTATCCCGATGAGTTCAAGTGATTCTTGCGTCTACTCACCTGGTTACATGTATAGATAAAATTTCCAACATGACATTTGCTGAGTATCTTCTGAATCAGACAGCAACGAGAAAAACCAGCACCAACGGTGGCAATCACTCGCAAGAGCTAGCATCCCTAATCTAAGAGCCACCAACCACATGACTAAGTCAGCTTGCAATGAAAGTGACAGCGCTGGTGTACTTCCAGTGCCAGGTAAAGAAATATGCAGGCTGCAGGTCCTACCCAGTTCAGCAACCCAATTAGTGACGACGAGACAAAAATTAGTTTTGAGGCTGTCATATCAAGGTAGCTGAACTAGACCTTCGTCAGCTTACCACACCCGACTCTTAGAAATGGCAAGCAATTAAGACTAAACGACATGCCAAAAAGCCAATAAAGGTCATGGAACTCTGTCAACACTACACAGAGCAAAAATAGAGCTCCTTGAAAGGTCGGTAATCTTCCACAGAGTGGGAGAAAGTAGACTCAGAACCACATAACTGTTTTGAATATGACTTTGGTAAACAAGCTGTTACCGGAAAATATACCAGGAGTCACCCTACTCAAGATATACAGAGTAGGCAGAAAAGAGACATTCCCTACTGAAAATAGGTTTCGGCTACCTAAAGTCGTTTTCAAATCAACAGAGAAGATGGTTCACATTCTGAAGAACCCATCATAGACTTCAAGGAATTAGTGTTTGTGCGTAAGAATTTGCCTCTTGTTGACCGAATCAGAAGACGAGAAGCAGAAGAGCTAAAATCCAGATTAACAGCAGGACAGCAAGATCTTAAAGAGGCGGGTTTCCGTGTAGTGAGGTTTCGGCAACAAATGATTCCAAAGCCTCTATAAATAGGAAGAAAACTCATTTAAGTGGTTTTATCGTCTTGTACACAAATGCACGTAGTTTCCTAAGCAAGTGGACCTAGCTTAGTAGTGTAAAAAGCATAGGAAGTTCTGACATCATTTCTGTCTCAGAAACTTGTCTCTCTTCTGAGATCAGTAACAGTGAAACACACTAATGAGGGTTTATTCCTCTTAAAAGTGATAAGTTGGCGCACATAGGTGATGTCATTCTATGCGTTCAGAATACCTTGACTGTAAGTCATAGAAACGGTTGCACATGATAGTGGGACATGTGAAATGTTGCGCTGCCAAATAAAATGCAAGCGACAAGATGTTAGCTTAATCGCAGTATATCGAGGTTTTGAAAGTGAGTCAGAATAAGCTAACCCTCTCAACAAATAAAAGCCAATGCTTAGTTGTAAGAGACTTCAACGCACCATCAGCTGACCGCGACAGACTAACAACAGAAGTATCACGTAATTCCTTTGATCATAGGTCAGGGGAAACATCAATCTCTTTTGTCCTTATACAGTACATTTAGGCAGCAACTAGATATGATCATTCAGCATGCTGCACCAGTTCTAGACTTAGTAATCTCGCACATATGATATATGCTTCATTCGGCACCTCGCACCCCTGTGGTAAGAGTGATTATGCGGTGATCATCTTCAGATTTACAGCAGCCGTCTTGTGCGACGCTGGTCGCCCAGCTAGACCCAATATATAGAAAGCGAATATGGCAGCTATTAACTCTGTAGCCTCTTCGGAAGACTGGGTAGTCAATCCAGAATTCTAAGTTGAGACTGCATGGTACCCCTTCAGACAGTTATGTCCACGAGTGACTCAACCGTTCATTCCGTGAACTGTCCAGAAGGGACTGAAGCATGTCCTCCATGGATAAACAGCGAAATCTCAATCTTGCTACGACTCAAGAGAAAGCGTCATAGTCTCGCCACTCAGCTCGGCACTCCCGAGATGAAGAAGCATTACAAAGAAACCCGAAATAAATTTATTGCTGCTATCCGTCGTCTCGAATATGTTTTGAAATACATCTTGCACAGGCTGCACTGCAATACCCGAAGAGGCTATTTTCTTATATGAACTACAGGAATAAGACGTGTCGTGGTATACCTATTCTAATCAAAGAGACAAACTGATTGTTTGATTGAGAATGATAAGGAAAAAGAAAAGGCCATGGCTGGATGCGCCGGTGAGATTTTTACACATGAGCCTTCTGTGGACACCAATTAAACGGTAGAAACATTGACGTCCAATAGAATAAACTCTGTGGACATCGACTGTCATGGTGTATTCAAGACATTAAGTACTCTATATATCCAAAAATCAACGGGACCAGATGAGCTTTACCCAAAACAGCTCCGAATGCCTGCACTCTATATGCAACCAGCCCATTGATTACTATACTTACTGTCCCCCAGTGAAGGCACACTCTATGATTTGAAGGACGCCATCGTCATTCCTACCTACAAGGCAGGTTCTAGACAGCATCTATCAAATTACAGACCGATAAGCTCGACTAGTACTGTAGTAAAAATTCGAGAAAGTGACAAAGATAGCCATTACGGTTCATTTAGAGAGCAACACTATTATCTCGTTTGCAGCAGGGCTTTCGCAGGAATTTCTCATGCTTTACGAACCTTCTCACAGTCAGAGAAAGTTAGTCTGGAGGAATCAAATATGTCCAAAGCTGAATGTCTGTCGGATTACTTTAGTGAAGTCTACTCTGTAGATCATGACGATGGAGTGCTCAACAGTGGTGTCAGCACTGTTCCACTAATAGGTACTGTGTTCAAAACAAAGGAGAGTCATACACTTGCTCATTAATTTAGACCTGGAAAACCCCCGGTCCCGATGAGTTACACCCCAGACTTCTATCTTCGCTAGCAGACATCATTGCTGAACCAGTCACGGATCTTTTTAATATGTCCCTAACTCAGACTCGCCTTCCTAGAGACTGGAAAGATGCCATAATCAGCCCAGTTTTTAAGGCCGGTAGTCGCCATTTGGTGTCTAACTATCGCCCTGTGAGTCTAAATAGCATAGTTATTAAGATTTTAGAAAAATAATTCATGATGAGTACTTGAGCATGTTGAGTCAACCAATCTTTTGGCATCACAATAACACGGTTTTCGTACTAGACACTCCTATATAACTAACCTTATCGCAAGAGAGGAGTGGGTTGCTGCCCGTGATTCCAAGTGCCATTAGATGCCATGTTTATAGACTTCAGTAAGGCATTCGACAAAGTGTCGCATGTGGAATTACTAGGAAAGCTCTCCTCTTTCGGGTTTCGTGCTTCATTGCAAGCCTGGATTAGGGACTTTCTGTTCGATAGAAGGCAAAGAGTAAGGGTAAATGGGATACTACCCGGGTGGAAACCTGTGATGAGTGAAGTTCCTCAGGAACAATCCGAGGTTCACTACTTTTTTTGTTATATATCAACGAATTGCCCAAAATGCTCAACTCTTCGCCGATGATGTGAAGATTTGGAGAGCCATACGCAGTGATCCAGATAGGTATACACTTCAAGAGGATTTAGATAAACTAGTAGGTTGGCCCGAACGTTGGTGCTTGTAAATCAACTCTAACAACAGTTTAATAATGCAAATTAATCAAAGCAATTGTTTCTAGTATTCTGTTGATGGTACACCACTACTCCCAGTCTTTCAACTGAAAGACGAATGTCATCATTAGTCATGATTTGAAAACCTCGGCAAACTGTAATGCAGCTGTAGCAGAGGGCTTCCGCGTATTATGGTCATCCGCAGAGCTTTCAAAAGTTTTGACCAGGACATGTTCAGAATACTCTATTCTACTCACGTTAAACGCCATTTGGAATACTGCATTTAGGCAGCCAGATCATGCCTTAAAAATGGTACTCACGCACTCGAGCGTGTTCGAAGGATAGGTACTAAGCTTGTGGCAGGCCTTTTGAATCTGTCCTATGAGGAACGACTAGATCAGCTAAACTTATTCCCACTGTCGTACCGTAGGAAACAGGGGGATCTTATACTGGCATTTCGTATTCTTAATAATGACTTCGGTACTGATATGTCTTATCTTTTCTCCCCGCTAGGACTGATCATCTCGAGGGGATCACAATAAAATTCAAAACCGTGATCGAATGAACTTAGCGTGAATCTGCGTTTCTCCCATCGTGTTGTCCATGTCTGGAACTCCTCACCTCAGCAAGTAGTATCAGCATCTTCTGTCAACGCGTTCAAGGAGAAACTAGATCTTCACAGAGATATCTTCTGCAAGGATTAACACAGGCCAACTGATCTACTATATTTAAGGATAGTTATAATTATAACTGAAAGTATTGATGATCATCAATACTCGAGTTCCAAAATATGGAAAGAATAACGCGCCACGATATCCAAATAAGCTGAGGCGGTGTGCATGAAGAAGAATGCATACCTCAGAGTGAACGTTAGGTCAAGTACGCTTTGTATATGGTGTCTGGTACGACCGCTAGAACTCAACTGTACTGCAGCCACTTCCTAGCTCGACCTTGAAAGTGTTCCACGATCCAGAAATAGGCATTCTTTGAATAGTTCCATCATCCAACATCAAATGAGCGAGCGGAGGGAACTTGTAGTTTTTAAGCCCCTACTTCCAGGTTTTGAGCCTCGGTTATTTTTGTTCATTTATATTCTTACTAAGTTCGTAGCAGCCTTCACAGTTTACCTGCTTGTCAGCTTTGGAGGTAATGGTTGTCTATTTGAAGTTTTTCTTTTGCAAATTGTGAGCTGATTTGTTTGGGAAGGCAATGTAGCCCCTAATAAGACCAATCAGCCCTTTTCGGTTACAGTCGTTGTAAGCATCTTCATGTAGTTACTAGACGTTATTTTATGATAGTGCGAGAAATTTGCCAAATATGAACTGAGAAAAGAGTGTAAGGTGCTTATGAAAAAACAGTTTCTCTTAGTTTTAGCATGGAGAAGAGATAGATCTCGTTGCAAATACTTCTGTTCTATAATACATGGGTGAATGAGCACCCATTCAGTTACTACCGGTGAATGTTCGTGGTAAGCCTTTTGCGCTCACGTCCTGTTCGAACAGTCGTTTGAAGGAGCCAACTGATACAGCTGCGGTTACTTCCTTCTGCACGAAGTTCCATGAGATAAACGCTGTGTGATAAGAAACCAGAACTATCTTGCATCTCTGCTGTCTGTTGAGGTATGCGGTTGGTGTTCCCTGTGTCAGTTGTGGACCCACAGTTTTATCCTTTTTGGTCGGTCCACTTGGCTGATAATCTTCTAGGCTGTTATCGGATCATTTCTTCTCCTTTGACAACTTGAAGTTAACAAAATGTGTTGTCTAAGGCATTGCGCACATGTTGTGTCCGCTGGTTCGAGAGCCGACCTTGTCGCCCCTCTTAGTAACTTCCTGAGAGTACTCATGTCTCTCTTCAGTGGAGGGGGCGGTTACGGTGTTGAACCCTTCTAGGTCTAACATAGGTTTCAAATGCCTGAAGGAACGATTCGGGGGTTAGCGCTTCAAGATACTTTCTTAAACGGTGCATGATGGCATTCCCCCCATGAGCCATTCCCCATAGTTGGCAATGGTATCCATGGTGTCGAAGAAATTTGACCCTATATCCTTCTCTGTGGATATCTTGGTGATTCAGCACTTACTGTGCAGTTGATTTTCATCGCTTCGGGTGTGTCAAGATGCATCACTTGCACTTCTTCGGGTTCAAGCTCAAACCATTCGCAGCCCACCAAGACTCTAATCGCAGCAGGCAGTCTTGGAGTGTCCTGGAAACTCCTCCCATTCTAGTCTCCTCCACATCTTGATGTAAGCAAAGAGAAGAATGGACGGGCAGATTTTAACGGGGAGGTAACTGATGAATAATAGAAAAAGTGGCGGCCTAATTATGGTTCCTTAAGAAACTCCTGTTTTTGCGCTCCCCAGGCTGTAAAATATGCTATGAGGGGTTCAACGATATCCACCTTCGAAGGTTTGGCAAGCATGGTGCAGCATGGGATGCCATCAGAAGCTTTGGTGACGTCCAGGGAGGTAAAGTGGACTGGTTGTTTGCTGCCCTATCTATTGATCCAGTCGTCCTGAGCGGTCACTAAGCTGGTGGCACATGAACGTCCGAATCTGAAGTTGAGCAGGGTGAGACGAACGATGTTGCTTCAGTTTAGCTGACTTCCAGGAGCATATGTGTCTAGGCCTTCTGGCAGCTTGGATAGTACGGGAAGTGACGTTATCAGTCTGTAGTTGCATGAGTTTTTTCGGTCTGCTCTCCTGAAGATTAGTGAAAGGACTGCTTCCTTCCGTTCTATAGTGTATCGGCTTACTTTCAACGCTTACGCTAGTAGATCACAGATGAGCATGCTCAGAGCTTCAGTACGATTCCTTCGGACCACTGATTTATGTCGCCACAGCCCGCAGACTTCCCCATCGTGAATGCTGAAGGTTTCGCTAACACTTGGTCCACGAAATCTTCATATCCATCAGCTTTATGTCTTGGTTCTAGAGTTTCTTTACATTACTGGACGTCAGTGGTGGGTGCGTTCTGTGTTGAGCAGCCCGTCAAATCAGTTGTTCAACAGTTCCACTATCTCATTGCTACTCAGGGCTCCCCTATTTGGTCTTGTGGCGAGGTTCAGATCCTTATTCGTCGATTTTTGCTGTGACACAAACCTATGTAGGCTTTCGGGGTTGTATCTTATCTGTTTGGCCAAGTTGCTATGGCACCTGTGCCCGTTATTACGAACACTCCTATTACATGGGTGGCGTAATTTCTTGTGGCCAAGACGGTCCAATTCCTTGTGAGATGTAGACCACTTATACCACACCCTCTTTTTCCTATGCATTTGCCACTGGGTTGTGTGAGAAACTGAAGTGTGTTTGCGAGGTGGTCGTCTGCCTACCTTCGGGACACTTTTTGATACCGCTCCAGATAATATCCCTTTTATGCATCCCGTGTCCATCTATTGGTGGAAAGTCTTATTCCAGTGGCTATGGTGCATCTACAAGTTCATTCTTCATGAGCTGTTGGTCTGCATTCCGATAACAGCCGGACGCTTCTGGCTCGAATATTGGCAGATTCTCTTTGATTACCAAGGAAAATCTTACCAGCCCGTGGTTGCTTTGACACATGGGGGCTTGGCAGTCGGAGTTTCTCCGTTAGTCCTACTGCTGCAAACGACTGTTCGAAAGATTTGTGTGTGCAGTATATTTTCAATCCTGGGTTAAGTACTGGTGTCTTGAAGTTTCCTGCGGGGACTACGTGGTCATGACCTGCTTATGCGGATGCAGAAATAGAGGCGAGCACCTACTTTTATGCTCTAGTGTGTGTAGCAGAGACCTGTGCAATTTTTCTAGTGGGCACGTTGTCCGGTTTGTGTTAAAATAGTATAACAAGGAGTCTGGCAATTGGTTGAGCACATAACAATAACGCGTGTTTCGAATAATGGATTACAAGAACACATGTCATTTTTACAGGCAGTGTTTGGATGTTATTTTTCTCAGTGAAGCTGAAAGTGATTAGAAAGAAACAAATCATCGTGCCATACAAGAGCTTCTGGAGTAAACAACTGTTTCTATATTGCTGGTCACAAATATTAGGTGAAGCCATGACATTAAACAGAAGCAGCGAAAACTAATGCGGGTATGATACGGTATGCGAAGTATCCTGGCAACAGTACGTCATATGATCAGTAAGATTATATTACATATCGAATGCCGAGAACAAATAAAGCCTAAGATGTGTCACTACTCAATAAATTTGCACTGCCCACATATGGCGGGCGAAACAAGAGTTAAATACCGGGATAGAAGGCGGGGAATATGGATCTGTTATTGTGTGGTGTCATGCACAGCGTAGCAATCGTTTGAGTTTATAATGTTGAGAACAGGGTCATTTGAATAAATTAAGCCCAAAATGCAATTCGTTCCAGCTACCACTGCCATATCACGGTAGAGAATATATGAGGTTTCACCACCAAACCATCCTACAACACTCCGAGGTGGGCGCTTTCGGTTAGTTTCATTTCCAGGTGAGTGGTTGTCGAGAATAGAAGAACCTGCATATTTGGACGTCAATGGCATTTATTACCAGCATTTCCAGATGCACTTCCAATTAAAGTCATGAAATCTGGAGAGGTTGTGGTCTGGAGTAACTTGCCTTTTGGTCTTTTAAGCATTAATAGATAGTAAAAGGTGATAGTTCTCACGTGTTACATGAAAGTTCCAAGTGTATTTCGATGCTCAGTGTGCGTTGACATGATCCGCCATCATAATCTGCATGTCGAACAAGAACCAGAAACATAGAGACATGAGAAGTGGTAGCAGTTACGTTAGAATCATTCGCCTTCTTGAAGTTTGGCTGGCTGCTAACATTTATCAACACTCATTATCCGCCAATGATCTGTCCGTCTTCCTAGAATAAAGCCATTTTAAGAATTGTCCTGGTGCAAACTTGACAGATGCAAAGACCAATCACTAATCATTCGGACTTGTTATATACCCACGAATACGAGACCAAGGAAGAACACGATAGCGTAGTCGGATGGAATAGTATATTTGGATGGTTGTGCCAAAATACCGATGCGTTCCAACTAACTGGCTAGAGAGTCGAATACGAGCACTGCAACGTAACACGACAGTGTGCCAAATGGCGAGGATGCTTGACCGGGTGCCTTCGGCCTAGTGAGGCCAGTTAAACTACCAAGATCAACGTCGAAAGTCGTCAAACCATAGGCCACTGATTTTTGGGAAGTGTGAGACGCTACACCATGTTACGTGTAGATATTACACGGTCCAAAAAACCAGATGTGAGTAACGACTCTATAGACAAAATTATATCTGTGTGCAGATAATTATTTATTATCGCATATCCCCTGGGTACCCAGTGGAAGACAGAGCTTCAGTAGCACATCTCCATTTCACTCTGTTGTCTGCATCCTTCTTAACCTGGCTCATCGACTACCCACAAACTTTCATTTATTCCTCACACGACCTCCTCCATATCACTGTCGAATGGCCAACTCGGCGTTTCTCATGCAGGTTCCACTCGATGGCCTGACCTGGTGCATGATGCCCCCAAACCGTCTTCCTTCTCAGTGTATGCCCAATCGAATGCATCTGCACTTTCTTCTGCATATTTGTTGGACGATGTGTTCTTGCTTCGTTAGTTCGTTGCCAGGCAGTCATAGTGGGTTCCTTGTTGCTTATTCTTATTATACTGGCCATCTGATCTTCAGTGTCGAGTGAGGGTGGGTGGCAGCTGTTTATCACGTATGTCTGTAGTTTGTTGGTGATGCTTTTCGTAATGCGTCAAGTCTCTGAAGCATGACATGGAAGGGTTGATTGATTTGACTAACATTGGTGTTAAAAATCTGGATGTTGTTCATGCTTTATGCTGAGTAGAGTGGAGTGGAGTGTAGTGGATCTCCACACTGATTAATTTCAGACTGATGAATGCCTATGTTGCTGTGTTTCCGATCGTGACTTTGACGTCCTCATGTGTGCCTGTGCCGCTGCCTGTAGTTGAGTAGATGCTGACCTGTCTGGTTGGGTGAGTGA